GTTGTAAAGAGCAAATTTGGGAGAACAGGGATAGTGTGTTGGACTAGTTAGGTGGAAGATACCCTTTATCTACCAGGTGTTCTTTATAAGTTACCTTTTCTGTGGTAGATTAGATGGGCAGCCATGCTTCAAATATGAGCTGCTGTTCACATTCTGGCTCTTTCCTACAATTCTGGGCTTCCTAGAGCCCAATGTTATGTGGCCCAGGTTCAGGCTAAGTTCATTTCTACAAGAAGTGCCCTGTACTGTGCTCTTAGCGTAAGCCTGGGTACAAGGGCAGTCAAAGGTCAAGAGAAGTTCAAAACAGCATAACAGTTCTGTGCTGTTTCCAAATAACCCCAATCTGCCTTGCTCCCTGAGTTTTTCCTCAGCTACTGTGTTTACCGTGTAGTTGTAAAACTCAGAAGAACAAGGGCTGACTTGATACAGGGGAAATTAGAGAGTAGAAGTCATTGTTGCCTAAAACAGGAGAAATGAGTGATTTATGTTTGGGGGCCAGTTAACCTATGAAACAGTAAAGGGACCTGTGATTTCAAGACAGCACTTGCTCTGATTTCTGTCTTGCAGACAAGAGGCTCCCAATAAAGATTGCCAGGTTTCTAGGCTAAATTATTCTTTTCATGCCTCTCTGGGATTGTAAACACCCCATAATAGAGGGAAACAATTGGTACTTTTCACTTATGGGGCTGATAGAGGGTCAAAGGGTAAATGGTTGGATTAGCAACAGCTGTTCTTTCTCTGGAGTTCAGCTTTTGTCTCTTACCTACTTTTGCAATGATGTTCCTAAATTTCTGGCTTATATAAAGTCTGCTCCTTTCCTTGTCTTATGATTTTAAAATAATCATAGAGAAAACATTAACAAAAATTGAAAATACTTTCACTCAGTTTCCAAAGTTGAAGACTTTTTTTTGTATATGCTTACTTTTTTGTGTGATGTCCAAAAAATACTAGCCAAAGGAAAGAGACTACTTGCAGGCACACAGATTAGGATCTTTTTAGCATTTTTTTCCCTTCCCAAATGGTTGAGGTTTCTTGTATAGTTGAATTAAGAGAAAGACAATAACTTTGTTTCAGCTGGTAGTAGAAACTTTTGTTTTTCTTTAAAATATTAAAATGAAAATAAACAAGGAAAAAAGAAATAAAGGAATAGATTAAAATGAAAACACAAGAACCCCTAATCTCACCAGTAAGAAATAAATATTATGATTTAAGAATAATCGTTCTAGGTTTGTGTTTGAGATAATCTTTGCATTATTAATAATCATAACATCTATGTATTTTTTGTATCTCATTTTCCCTTATACCTGTAGAGCATTGTCTCCAAGTCTTGAGACATTTGTTTTAGTGAACATTTTTAATGGCAGGATGGCAACTTACTTGAAGAGTAGAAAAGCTTTGGTGTGATCTATTTAGCCATTCTCTTATTCCTGGGAATTCAGATGGTTTCTGCTTTTTCCTACAGTATACACAGTGCCATAGTGGACATGTTCATAGTTCGTAAGTCCACATTTCAAATGAATGCTTTAGTTTTTTATGTAAGCAAAATCTCCTGAATTAAATGAAAAAAGCATGATTGGTACTGAAGAGATGGCTAGGCTTTTTTACATGTAATCTCTGTGCATCAGTTTTCTCATCTGAATATTTGAACAGTAAAAGTATAATGATTTTTATAAGGCCTATTATGAGGATTAGATGCAGTAATATATGTAATGGGTTTAGAACAATGCTTAACAAATGGTAAACACTAATAAGTGCATGCTATTCTAGGCTATTAGTGTATTGTTGAAATTCTCTTTCTATATTCATGGGATGTTGCAGCTGCATTTTTTTTAAAAGATTTATTTATTTATTATGTATACAGTGTTCTGCCTACATGTAGGCCTGCAGGTCAAAGAGTGCACAGATCTCATTGCAGATGGTTGTGAGCCACCGTGTGGTTGCTGGGAATTAAACTCAGGACCTCTGGAACACCAGGCAGTGCTTTTATCCTCTGAGCCATCTCTCCAGCCGCAGCTGCATTTTATTCAGTAGATTAACCTATGTTTCTTTTCTTTTCCCCCCTTCCTTTGGGTTGTTAAGACAGGACTTCTCTGTGTAGCCCTGACTATCCTGGACTCTCAGTGTAGACCAGGCTGGCCTCGAACTCAGAGATCCACCTTCTTTTGCCTCCCATGTCTTGGGATTAAAAGTGTACACTACCACACCTGGAAATATATCATAATTTTTGATATTAGAAAGTAGTGTAGTTGCTAGGGAGATATATCAGTGGTTAAGTGCACTGTCTGCTCTTTCACGGACCCAGGTTCAATTCCCTGCAATTACCAGGAAGGTCACAACCATGTGTAACTCTAGTTAAAAGGGATCTGATGCCCTCTTCTGGCCTCTGCATACAGTGTATGTATATGGTGCCCAGATATACATGCAGACAAAACACCAACAAACAAAATAAAAATAAACCCTAAAAATGGGCGGGGGAGGAGAGTATAGTCCAAACATTGTCTGCAGAGAATCAATTTAAAGTTGAAGAGTAGATATCAAGAAAGGAAAGATAGCTGGGTGGTGATGGCACATGCCTGTAACCCCAGCTATCAGGAGGCAGAGGTAGGCAGATCTTTGTGAGTTTGAGGCCAGCCTGGTCTCTCAAAGCAAGTTTCATGACAGCCAAATCTGTTACACAGAGAAACCCTGTCTCGAAAAACAAAAGAAAACAAAACAAAACAACAAAAATCCAGAAAGATAAATGCTATTCTAAAAGAACATTTATTTTTATCTCATTCTGTATGTGGACTTGTATGGAGGTCAGGGGGCAACATTGGATGTTGGGCCTCATCTTTCACCTTGAGACACAGGGACTTTTCTCGAGACTTCTGGAGGCTTAGTGGGATTATAGGTGTATGGTTTCTGGGCATCTGAGCAATGATTCTCATGTTTGGATGGCAAGAAGTTTATTCACTTAGACTTTGTCCCAGCCTGAGAAATACAACTTATTGGGTGTTTCTTATGGGCCAGACACTGCATATATTCTTCAGTTGTATGTGGAATATGTCATACAAGATGATTTGATGAGCTTGATTTTTGTAGGATCTTACCTATTTAACACAGTACTTCTTTTCATTTTCCTGTATATGTCAAGCTTTAGCCACAGTATAAAGGCCATAGTTCTGTTAAAGCTTTCTGATTTACAGGAAAGATAGACACAAATCTATGTGGCTTTTACCACATAAATGCTTCACATTGATTTTTTTTTCATTAACGCATGTAAAGACTAAGCATTCCGTGAGAACTTCGAGGTCTGCTAGAGAATGTAAAAGGACCTACCTCAACGTATGCCATGAAGTATGGCTGCAGAGCACTTATTTAACTGATCTGTCTGTAGCCTTTTTTTTTTTTTTTTTTTTCTTTTTTCTTCGAGACAGGGTTTCTCTGTATTGCTTTGGAGCCTGTAAACAAGGCTGGCCTCTAACACATAAAGATTTGCCTACCTCTGCCTCCCAAGTGCTGGGATTAAAGGCCTGTGCCATCAACACCTGGCTCTGTAGCCTTCTTAATTTTGATAAGTCTCAGATGTTAATGGTGAGCTTGAGGAAGTAGCTCAGTGACATAGCATTTAGCTAGTATATGCATAGGTCCTTGTTTCAATTTCTATGATCATCTTCATCATCATCATTATTGGAGATATCACCTCTGTCTTCAGTAATTCTCCAGTAATTTTGTAGACCAGGCTGGCCTTGACCTCTGTGATATGTTTGCTTCTTCCTCCCAGGTATTGGGATTAAAGGCTTGTGCCCCTACACTTTGCCCCAATTTTATCTGTCTGCCTATTTATTGTTTTTTTTTTTTTTTTTTTTTTTTTTTTTTTTTCTTCCAAGACAGTGTTCCTCTGTATATTCTTGGCTGTCCTGGAACTCACTCTGTAGACCAAGCTGGCCTCAAACTCACAGAGATCTGCCTGCCTCTACCTCCCTACCTCCCTAGTGCTGGGATTAAAGGTGTGTGCTACCACACCTAGCTATGATATTTTTCTTTTACTATTTTATTTTTTTAATTTTACATATTCTAGTTCTCTCTCCCTCCCCTCATCCTACTTCCCCCACCTTCCCCTCACCCCACTCCCCATTCCCTCTTCAGAGAGGGTATGGCTTCATGATGGGTTGGTTATTTTAATGTATGAAAGAATAAGGCTATTTTAAAGTGTCATTTGGGCATCTTTTGCATTATAGGATGATTTTGGACACAGACTGAAGAATTCATGTGGGATTAGGTCCTCAAAGAGATTTCTTCTGTAGCTCAGGTTCAGGACTATTGTGCCTTTCATGAGACAGGTTCTTTCCTGAAGCAAATTAAGATAAATTTACAAGTCTCCCCGTTTTCCCTTACTGTCTCCTCCACAGCATTCGTTCAGTGATTAGGTGGCTCATGGCATTAACACTTCCCCAGTGTCTCTAAAGCTTCAGCTCAATATGCTGCATCATTTCTGGGGAGTGCTTTCTGATAAGGATTCTTTTGAACAAGGTGGGTGTGGGATTCGATTCAGAACATAGGTTGAACTGCCATTCCTTTGACCTCTGCCCCTATTTCAGAGTATATACTGACTTGTAGTCATTCTGGAGCCAAGAGTTTAGCACTTGTCTACAGTTGAAAAGATAGTTGTATTCAAAGGCAGTTACTCAGTTCTTGGATAATCGTTGATGTCTGTCATTTGGTGGGTACAGGGAATGCTAAAACTTTTAAGTCTGGAGATTGTAATAGATGACTAAGAAGGAATGTTAAAACATCTCAGGTTAGATTGGAGCAATTGTGTTTTTCTGTGGGAGCAGTATTGTGACAGTTTGAGATCTCTGTTTCTCTTCTCTCTACTCTCCTCTCTCCCTCTCATCTCTCCTTCTGCCCCCCCCCCCCCCCCCCCCGTGTGTGTGTGTGTGTGTGTGTGTGTGTGTGTGTGTGTGTGTGTGTGTGTGTGTGTTGTGAGGGGGGGTGAATGGAGATCTGCCAAAGCAGGTGTATGAAGGTCAGAGGACAATCCTATGGAGTTGATTCTTGTGGCTTGAGGTGGGTTCCAGGGGTCATTCTCTGTCATCAAGCCTGAGTGTCACGTGCTTTTTTTTTTCACTGAGCCATTCTGATCCTCATATTTTAAAAAAAGCTGACAATTGTTTGAATTTAGTGCCTTGTTATGAGAATTTTTCTCCTGCATTAGTCTTTCAGTTTAGTTTTATTTGATTTTTCACTTTAAAGATCATTCTGGCCTCTTAACTCAAAGTGATCTGTCCATCTGCCTCCTAGGTTTAAAGGGGTGCACTCCCACACCCCACCTCATAATTTTAGCTTTTTAAAGTAAGAGTCTTCCATGGTTAAGAAATATGGAATATGTTTGAAAGAAAATTTGGCTCCCTTTTCAGCTGACAAGTTGCCAGAACTTTTTTGCAGAAGCCAGCCATAGCTCCAGCTCCCACTTAGAGCACAAGTTTCACACTCAGATTATATGCCTTCACGCTTGGCCCTCCTTTCCCCCAGCTTTTATTTATTTATTTTGTTTTATTTTATTTTAAAGAAAGGATCTTGTGTAGCCTGGAATGGTCTGGATACCCTATGTTGTCAAGGATGGCTTTAATTCAAGATTTTATGTCTTAGCTTCCTAAGTACTAGAATACATATGTTAGTTACTGTGCCAGACGAGAATTCTCTTATCTTAAAATTGCTCTGTGGAAGGGACACATGTGAGATGGCTCAGACTGGTAAAGCAGCTTGCTGCCAAGCCTGGCTATCTGAGTTCAGTGCCTGTAACCCCCATAGTGGAATAAGAGAACCAATTGTAATAACCCCTGCTAGGTGTCATTGTAACCCAAATAAGTAATGCAGTATATGTGAATTATCCACCATTTACATACTAGTTATTCTTGCATCTTTCTCCTTGACTGAAATATGGGAATAAAATTTCTAACTTCTTCTTTGTTAGTATTTATTGAGCATTTACCGAATTATGTCATTAAAGTATTATCTTGTTTACTTTTCCTAGCAGGTCTATGAAATTATTCTCAACTCTAGTTTTCTGTTTTGCAGATGGGGAGACTGACAGTTTAACACTTGGCCAAGGTCACACACCTGGTAAGTGGTGGAACTGCTGTTTGTGACCCCAAAGTCCTTGTTTTTTCTATCTTTTAAAAATTGAAGTATGAAGGCTGGAGAGATGGCTCAGATGGCTTTTAAGCACTGACTGCTCTTCCAGAGGTTCTGAGTTCAATTCCCAGCAACCATATGCTATCTTATAACCATGTGGTGCCCTCTTGTGTCAGCCATGTGTACATGCAGGCAGAACACTCTACATATAATAAATAAATAAATCTTTCAAAAAATTTTAAAAATTGAAGTATGAAATTTTCATACAAGGAATTGCTCTGATCTGAAAATGTAAATCAAAGCAGTTTTCACAAAAGTGTTACCCATTGTGGTTCCTCTTTAAAATTCCCTCTACTTTTTTCCCTATTTTCATCCACTAGTCTATCCCTAAAACCTAGTAACTTCTTGCTTCTTGTTCTAAACTCCATATGCATAGCTTCATACAATGTATGTTCTTTTGTGAATTTTCAGCCCAATATTTTATAGTAATCCATGATGCAAGTGGTCATTTCTTTTTATCACTGAGTAGTATTCTGTTGACAGTATCATGGGTAATTCATTTGTCGACACCTGGGCTGTTTCTAGTTTATTGCAGATAAACCAGCTATAAGATTTCTTGCCGGGCGTTGTGGCGCATGCTTTAATCCCAGCACTCGGGAGGCAGAGGCAGGCGGATCTCTGTGAGTTCGAGGCCAGCCTGGTCTCCAGAGCCAGGATAGGCTCCAAAGCTACACAGAGAAACCCTGTCTCGAAAAACAAAAAAAAAAAAACAAAAAAACAAACAAACAAACAAAAGATTTCTTACACAAAATTTTGTATACATACATGTATATTGATCCTCTAAAATATATTAGAAATTGGTAGTTTATACAATACTTACATATTAAAACTTTATAATAGTCGCCAGTTTTCTAAAATGTTTTTACATTTTATAGTTGTAGTAACATGTGAATTCCTGTTTCATATGTTTGCAAATAATTGATATTATCAGAGTTTTAATTTTTGTAACTCTAGTGAGCATTGTAATGGGATGGGATGTTTTTAATTGGTATTTCCCCAGTGGCCAGTTATGTTGGTAATCATATCATACATTTTATTGGCTATTCATATATCTACTTTTTGAATGGTTCAAGTGTTCTTTGTCTACCTTTTACATTGTTGGCATTTTATATTCTGGATATGTTATGATAAATGTGGCATGAGTATTTTCTCCTGGTTTGTGGTTTTCCTTTTCATTTTTAACATGTATTATGATGAATACAACTTGTAATTTTTATGAAGTGTAGTTTTTGAAATCTTTTTTTTTTTTTTTTTTTTTTTTTTTTTTTTCCA